CCTCTCCCTCTCTCTAACTCTCTCTCTCTCAATGGATGTAATGGCACATACCTACAGTCCCAGCTATTTAGGAGGTTGAGGTGGGAGAACTGATTGAGCACACGAGTTGGAGGCTAGCCTGGGCAACATGGAAAGATCTTGTCTCAAAAAAAACCTAAAACGTTTTTTCGTACAACCATTTTCTCATTTAATGCTCATCATTAGCCAGGTGAAGTATAATTTATTATGGTTTTATAGAGGAAATTGAAACTTTGAAATATTAAGTAACTTGACCAACCACTAAGAAACAGAATCAGACAAAGAGTATGATCTTGGAGCTTTGTGCTGTTACTCTGAGAAAGCTGTACTACAATGTGTGTTTTCAGCTTCTACCTCCATTCCCTTTTCTTCCAGGCTGGATTCATGCTGTATATACTCCTACAGACACATTGGTCTTTGGAGGCAATTTTTTGCATAGCTTCAACATCCCCATGCAATTAAAGATATATAACATTGAAGATCGGACACGGGTAAGTAATTTTATGTAACAGTTACATGTGTAGAGGTTTATCCCATTTAGAAGAGATGTTACAAGAGATTCATGAGGGGCCGGGGATTTAGCTCAGTGGTTCTACCTGCCTTGAAAGCTCAAGATCCTGAGTTTAATCCCCTGTACCAAAAAAAAAAAGAGAGAGACTCATGAATAGTTTATCAAAACTTTATAATTTTTTTTTTTCTTTTGGTACTGGGGATCAAACTCGGGTCCTTGTGCTTGCAAGGCAGGCAGCAGAAAAAACTTTAATTTTTGTTTGCCTTAAAATGTAATGTTCACATATTGGGAATATGAAGAAAAATAAAAATTTTAGGAAGGTGAATTTATTTAGTTTTAGAGATATTAATTATTTGAAGTTCTTGATACCTTGGATTTGATAGGAGTACAAGTGGATATCTGATAATCTCGTGAGCCATGTTTTTAATTTGTATTCTCATGGAATACTAACACCTGAACCATTTTACTTTTTGTTGTTGTTGTTGTTGGTACTGGGGATCGAACTCAGGACCTTGTGCTTGGGAGGCAGGCACAGCGCCACTGAGCTAAATCTCCGGCCCTCAAACCATTTTACTTTAATATATACAAGTGTATCCTGTTGGAGCTGGGTGCGGTGCATTCCTACAATCCTAGCACTCAGGAGGCTGAGCCAGGGGGATTGTGAGCCTGAACTGTGTAATGAAACCCTGGCTCAAAAAACCCAAGAAAACAAACAAACAAAAAAATACATATATTGTCTTTCTCAGCTGGGGTTCCATGACAGACTTGAGCACTGTAGCCCCTATGTGTCTTATTTTTCTATTTTTCCTAGGTGGTGCACAGCTGACTGGTACTATTCTAGATTCAAAGGAAAAAAACTTAATCATTACACCCCATGGATACCAAACAAAAGACCTGGCAGGCTTTCTGTAAAGATCTAGATAGTAAATATTCTCAGCTTTATGATCCATAAAATATTTGTTGCAGCTACTTAACCCCTACCTCAAAGTATACAGGGCAGCCATGTTTTAAAATAAATTTTATAAATGTGAATTTCTGCTTATTTGTTAAAAGTAATGAAACTATAAAAGATAGTAAATGGTTTAATAAGCCTGAGGAAACAATACTAACCCTCCTGTTGTGAGAGTTACTCTGAAGATTAGTTTTAGAACACATTCCCTTTTTTATGTCTCAATATGACTGCTGTACCCTGGGCTTAGTTGTTTTGGTTTCAGGGAAGAAAAGGAAGATACGTACTCAATAGGATAAGTAAAATGAACACCTTTCTCTTTGTGAAAGGTTCCCTGTAAATTGTTAAACTGGTAGAAACTAATCTTCTTTTTTTTTTTCTTCTGTTTTTTTGGTACTGGGGATAATCTTGATATAATTCCTAGACTTTATTACAGAATGTCAGTTTTCCATATCTAACCATATTTTTTAAAGTATGGCTTAATTCTTTTATTTCAAATAATCCTGTGTTTCTATAAAATTTCATTTGATCCTCTGTATATTTGGTACAATTAAAATATACAATGAATGTTTAAGAATTATATTAAAAGACACATTGCTATTAATCCCCTCCCAAAAAATACTCCCCCTTACTTCAAACACATTTATTCCAAGATTCTGGCCATTTTCTGAAGCAGTTCTTGAAGTCCCCTTTTGTGAGTGTCTTTATGAGGTATGATTTAAAAAAAAAATACAGTGAATGCTGTTGCTGAGTCCCATCCAACAGAAAGGCAGGCTTGTAAAAATATTAGGGTGTGTCCTCGTCTACCTTATTCACAGAATCTGGCACCATGTAACTTCTGGCTCTTCCCCAAAGTCAAAATGACTGTGAAAGGTAAACATTTGAATTGATTCAGGACATTGAGGCAGCCATAAGAGTGTAACCAAAGCCAGTCACAAAAAGAGGACTTCCAAAACTGCTTTAGAAAGTGTCAAGAATGATGAGATAAATGTATTTGAAGAAAAGTGGGGAGTATTTTGAGGAATATTAATGGCAATGTGTTTATTACTTTGATAAAAATTTTTAAAATTTGAACATCACTGTATTTTTCAATCCCACTTTGTATATACAACACAGAGCAACTTTTTTGTTTTTCACATTAACCACAATGGTTTATGAAAGAAATATAAAGCATATTATAAACAAGTCATTGTTTTGATTACTTTTATCTACCAATGTATAAACTTAGTATTTAAATTGAGCGTTGATAGTTATTGTCTTAAAGTCTGAAAAGTTTTATACAATGAGGATTTTTTTTTTTCTTATTTTGAAATGGGGTCTTGCTATGTATGGTTCCCAAGCTGACCTCAAATTCTTGGAGTTGGCCAGGATTGCACACCTGTATTCCTAGCACACTGGGAGGCCAAGGCAGGAGGATTGCAAGTTCAAGCCCAACCTGGGCAACTTAGCAAGACCCTTTCACAAAATAGAGGTGGAGATGGGTTGTACCTCAGAGTGAAGGCTCTAGGTTCAGTTTCCAGAACCAAAAACAAAATAAACCTGGGCTCAAGTGATCATCCTCTCTCCTCCCTCAGCCACCTGATTAGCCAGGACTAGGGATGCATGCTGCCATGCCTGACTTGTGATGAGGATTTTAGAAAGTCTTCCCAAAAAATTTCATCTCATTCTTAGGAATTAGATATGTTTTATGGTATTTGGCAGCGTATATAAAATATATTATGAGCAAGTTGGGTGTCTAGTATTATGACTATTCCCCACCACCACCACCAGCAGGAATCAAACTCAGGGCCCTGTGCTTGCCAGGCAGGTACGGCGCTGCTGAGCCACATCCCTGGCCCTGTGACTATTTTTAATACAGTCTGATGAGTTCCAAGTTAACAAAAAAATGTTTTGAGACCAGGTTGCCCAGTCAGGCCCTGAACTCCTGTGATCCTGGGATCCTTTTCTTGGTCTCCCAAGAAAAGTGTTAATACACTTTGAAGGCTAGGGGAGAAGCATTATATTTGATTTGGGCGACCAGGTACATCTTAGTTCTTACCTGCTTACCACCTCCCCGTTACCAGAAACAAATTGATTTGACTTTTGTTTTGGGGGGTTTTTTTTGGTACCAGGGATCAAACTCGGGTCCCTGCACTTGCGCAGCAGGCAGCGAAACCACTGAGCTAAATCCTTGGCCCTAATTTGACTTTTAAGTAAAGGAAGAGAAACCTCTCCTACTTATTAAAGTTATAAGTATGTAAAAAAGACCCCAATTCAAGGTCTGGCTATTTTTCATTGGAAAGATAATTGGGATTGACTATGAAAAGTACATGCCTTTCCTGGTCTGCAGTAAAAAAAAGCTTTCTCAAGTATATTTTGTCTAAGCCCGGCATAGTGGTGCATACCTACAGCCCCAGCACTTGTAAGGCTGAGGCAGAAGGATTGTCGAGAGTTTGAGGAAAGCCTTCACCACAAAGTGAGACTCAGGGCCAGGGATTTAGCTCAGTGGCACCGCGCCTGCCTCATAAGCACAAGGTCGTGAGTTCAATCCCCAGTACCAAAACAAAAAACAAAAAACACAAAGCGAGACTCTGTCTCTAAAAAAAAACAACAACCAGAAAACAAAATAAAAGTATATTAAGTATATTGTGTTTAACTCTAAAATTTTACCCTCTATCTCAAAACCCAAAATTTCTTTTTGATACTTCCCCACTGAAACAAAACAGTTTCTTGGTGGTTCTGTTAGGTCATCACAAAAACCTTTTGCCTTAAAGCAGTTGTTTTCAAAGGCCAATATTTTCCAAGTTGATGGATTGACTCAAGTTCATGTTTTAAATGCCAACTTGAGTTTGCAGGTTGACTGGCAGGACTTTTCCTGGGTTAATTATTACAGTGATTCAGTTTCTCTGTCTTTCCTTAAAAAGTATCATCACCTCATTATTTTGTCTCTGCATAGGTTCCAAATAAGTTCCGCTATCCATTTTACTATGAGATGTGTTGGTATGTGTTGGAGCGCTACGTGTACTGTATAACCAGCCGTTCCCACCTAACTAAGGAATTTCAGAAAGAATCTCTCAGCATGGGTAAGTGTTTTCCCTACATAAAATTTTTTGGTACCAGGGATGGATGGAACTCGGGATCTTGCGCTTGTGAGGCAGGTGGCAGAACCACTGAGCTAAATCCCTGGCCCTGTGTGTATGTTTTAAAAAATGTTTTTTGTGGTACTGGGGATTGAACCTAGGGTCTTCACTCTGAGCTATATCCCCAGCCCTTTTTTCATTGTTTATTTTGAAACACGACCTTGCTAAGTCACTAAGGTGCCCAGCCTGGGCTGGAACTTGTGATTGTCCTGCCTCAGCCTCCCAAAGTGCTGGAATTACAGGTGCATTTGAGACCCGGCTGGGCTATGTAGTAAGTTCAAGGCCAGCCTAACATAGCAAGACCATACTTCAAAAAAATTAAAACAAACTTGTCCAGACATTTTACTAAGTAGTTTACATATGTTAAGTTTTTATTACTACCTGTGATGTAGGTATAATTATCTCCATTTTACAAATGGGAACAATAAGGTTGAAAAAGATTTTAAAACTTGTCCAGAATCTTACAGTTAATAAGTGATTAAGCCACCGCTTGAATCAAACTGGTCAGACTCTAAAATCTTAACCTTTGTACTCTCTCTAACATATCCCCAACATCTATCAAGAGAAATGTTTTATTGGATGATATGGTAGTTTCAGTCCACATTTTTAGACTTTTCCATGTCTTTTTGTTTTGGTATTGGGGATCGAACTCCGGTCCTTGTGCTTGTGAGGCAGGCGGCAGAACTGGCCCACTTTTTCATGTCTTGAATTGAAGAGGAGTTGATACTGTAAAATGCTGTGATTGCAGGTTTCTTTGGAATCTTCAATCCAAGGAAGATGACTTTTGCTTTAGCATTTTCTTCTTACTGTATAACTTTGCTCATAGTTTATACTCTGATTTGAAAATTTGAAAAGCTCAGCCAACATATGAAAGCAAGATAAAGAATTGTATATATAATATGATCCAATCTTGTTTTAAAGTATATCTAATCAAGTCAAGCATGGTGGTGCATGTCTGTAATCCCAGCACATGAGAGGATAAGCAGGAGGATCACTGAGTTTGAGACCAGCTTGGGCAACATAGTGAGTTCAAGGCCAGCCTGACTCACATAGCGAGACCCTGTCTCAAAAAAAAAAAAGATTATGAGTTCAAGCTCAGCCTGGGCAAACAAATTAGTGACTTCAAGAGACCTTGTCTCGAAACAAAAAATAAAAAAGGACTGCAGATGTAGTTCAGTGTGAAAGAGCCCTTCAGACCACTTGAGTACCACTCCCAAATCATACACAAATATACATAGGAAAAGATAGAGAATACATTACACAATTGAGTTGTTTTTCCAGAGTAGAGGGATAAGGAATGACTCACTTCCTTGTAACATCATGCATTTTCTAAATTATTAGTAGTAAAGATGTTTTTAAGAACTAGCACAGTGGGGCCAGGATTTGGTAGCTGCTGCTGAGAGAAAACCTTGATGGCATACTTGCCCTGGTATTACAACAGTAGCAGCTGTCACTCAGTGGGACAGGCACCATTTTCTGATTCTTAGTGAACATTATGCCTTCCTGCTTCTCTAACCTTAGGTGCTGCCAGGGATGGTGGTGCACGACTGTAATCCCAGCACTTGGGAAGCTGAAACAGGAGGATTACTGCAAGTTTGAGGCCAGCCTAGGCTACATAGTGAGACCCTGTCTCAAAAAAAAAAAAAAGACTAGTGAACATTATCACTGATATCAAAATTTTCCTTTTCAAAAAATATTCACTTTGTTCTGCTCTCCATGTTGGTAGGATTTGAACTGCTCAAAACTTAATTTTATGTACTTCATATGGTCTGTTCTTTAGAAGAAAATGAAGCCGGTGATTTAGCTCAGTGGTTCTGCCACCTAGCTCGAAAGTGCAAAGTGCTGAGTTCGATCCCTAATACCAAAAAAAAAATGAAAAGAAAATTCCAAATTTAAGCTTAAATTTGGAAGTAATTTATAGCTTCTTTCATGGGTAACTTATTTCTAATACACAAAGATAAGGTTCTTCTCAGACTTTTAAAAACGCAGTTGTCCTACTAGAGCAGGATCCTACTGTTACCATGATTTTCAACAGTGGAAAAATAGATTGGAATAAGGAGAGACTTTTTTTTTTTTTTTAGAGAGACTATTTTTAAATATGAGTGCTTTGTCATTTATAACCTCAAGCCCTAGGCCAGGGATGTAGCTCAGTGGCACGCCTGGGCATGCCTGGCAAGTGCAAGGTCCTGAGTTTGACTGGGGGGCCTCTTGCAAGCCCCTTCCCATGACACCTATGTCTCTTGTTTGTTTATTTTTGGTTTTTTTGGTATCAGGATCAAACTCGGGACTTTGCACTTGCAAGGCAGGCGGAGGAACCACTGAGCTAAATCCTTTCCCCTATATCTCTTGTTGATTGCATGGATAAGTGATATTGTCTGTCTTCATTTTTTTCTTTGTGTTGGTAGATATGGAGTTAAATGGATTGGAGTCTGGAAATGGGGATGAGGAAGGAGTAGACCGAGAACCCCGACGTTTGAGCAGTAGGCGTTCTGTCCTTACTAGCCCTGTAGCCAATGGGGTCAACCTGGATTATGACAGCCTGGGAAAAACCTGCCGAAGTCTTCCGAATCTGAAGAAAACTTTGTCTGGGGACTCATCCTCTGACTGTAGCCGGGGCTCCCATAATGGCCAAGTGTGGGATCCCCAGTGTAGCCCCCAAAAGGACAGGCAAGTGCATCTGACCCATTTTGAGCTTGAAGGCCTTCGCTGCCTTGTAGATAAGTTGGAATCTCTGCCACTGCACAAGAAGTGTGTCCCCACAGGGATAGAAGATGAAGATGCTCTTATTGCCGATGTGAAGGTAAGCAACTATTAACCTGGCTAAGGCAATTCAGTTTCTAGTTTTGGAGGGAAAAAATACAGGAATTTAATATAATCTCTGGTTCAGCTACAGAGAAGTTATTAAGTGTATGTGTTTGTTAGTGCTGCTCAATGTTTCGAATCCTATAGTGAAGTTAGGTTCCTATTTAAAAAATAATTACATCTTGGCCAGGGATTTAGCTCAGTGGTTTCACTGCCTGCTGCGCAAGCGCAGGGTCCTGAGTTCAATCCCCAGTACCAAAACAAAACAAAAAACAAAAAAAATAATAATTACATCTTGTGTGTTCAGTGAAGATTTAAATTCAGCCCTTAAAACGGGATTCAAGCTGACCCCTTAAATAAAGATCAGCCTGAGAAAGTGTGTACATGAAGAAATAAAAAAAAAAGAAATAATACTTCAAGCTTGTTTTGTGCTCCTAAAAGAGGCCTGTTGCAGAACAAAAGAGAAGCCAATAGCAATCTCATCCTAAGCAGATTAAGAGAAAATTGTTCTATGCTATGTTATGTTGAGGAGGTTTAACATCTTTAGTTTCAGTAATATTAAGACAAATGCATCAAGACAACTTCCAAGAAAAGTGACATTTTAAGCATAATCCATCCTGTTGCTTTGTCAAGTTTCTTCATATTGGTTTTTTTTTTTTTTTTTTGGTACCAGGGATCAAACTCAGGTCCTTGCACTTGCACAGCAGGCGGCAAAACCACTGAGCTAAATCCCGGCCCAATATATTTTTGTTTTTTAAGAGGTCCTCCAACATAAGTTAAAAAAAAAACAACCTTTTGTCTACCCCTCATATATTAGTCTCAAAGAAATGAGCTAGTTTTATGAAATCTTGATTTGAGTTCTCTAAACTAGAGAGATCTCTTTCTTCCTCTGTCTGTGTCTCCCCCTCATCTCTCTCTGTCTCTTTCTCTCTGGAATGTTGCTGTGTCTCTGTCTCTTTTTCTGTCTCTCTGTCACTGTCTGTCTCTGTCCCTTCCCCTTCTCCCCATCCCCACCTCCACCCCACCCCACAGGGATCTTGCTGTGTTGCTCAGGCTGACCTGAAACTCCTGGGCTTAGACTATCCTTCTGCCTGACTGCCTCACTCTTCTAAGTAGCTTGGACTATAGATAATGTGTCACTGTGCCCAGCACTATTTTCTTTTTTCTCTTCCTCATACCCTTCAGTCTTTTTTGTTGTTGTTGTTGTTGTTGTTTTTGTTTGTTTTTTGTTTTTATATCAGGGATCAAACTCAAGACCTTGTGCTTGAGAGGCAGGCAGCAGCACCACTGACCTAAATCTCCGGCCCACCCTTCAATCTTTAAGGACCCTATGAAGAAAGATAACTAAGACTATGTTGTGTAAATTTATTTGATCTGGGTATCTATTTCTGTCTCCTTCCTCTTTCTTTCTCTTTTCCTTCCCTCCTCTTCCCCTTTCCTTTTTTTCTTCCTCCTTCATCATCATCTTTCTCCTTCCTCCTTCCCCTTGTTCCTCCTTCCCCTTCTTTTTATTCCCTTCCCCTTTCTCCCTTGTCTCAGCCTTTTCCTCTCCCCTCCCCATTTGTGTCCATCAAATCCAGGGCCTTGTGCATGCTAGGCAAACTGTCTACCAATGAGCTACACCCACAGCCCCAAATTTTCTTTTTAAATCAGTGTCTGGAAATATATATCTTGGGTGTGTGTATTAGAAAGCAAGACCAGGGCTGGGGATTTAGCTCAGTGGTTCTGCTGCCTGCCTCAAAAGCGCCGGGACCCAGGTTCGATCCTCGGTACCAAAAAAAGAAAGCAAGACCAGAGTTTGTAGTAAGTGTTACTTTTTTAAACTGCCACATAGATTATTATAAGCTATTTTAAGAACTTACAGAGGGGGCCAGGGATTTAGCTCAGTGGTTCCACTGCCTGCTGTGCAAGCGCAAGGACCCAAGTTCCATCCCTGGTAGCAAAAAAAAAAAAAAAAAATGAATTTACAGAGAATAATTCTGTGACACCCCCCCCCCAATAAAAGTGGACTAAATGTCTTATAGTATGTCTTTCCCATCCCTGATTCTTGATTCAGGTTTTTGTTATTGTTGTTTGTTTTTTGTTGAGACAGGATCTTGCTATGTAGTTCAGGCTGTTCTTGAATGGACTATGTAACCCAGATTACAAACTCAAACTCAAACTCTGGGCAATCTTCCTGCCTCAGCCTTCCAAGTGCTGGAAATTACAGGTGTGTGCCACCACAACTGGCTGATTAAGGTGTTTCTAGCCACCATATAACCAGGTGTGATGTTCCCCAGCTTTTTGCACCTCAGGAATGAATTCTGAGTCTGAGATGGGACTTCATCTTTTTTTCTTTTTACAATTACATTTAAATTATGTATTACATGTTCATGCATCAGTAAAAAGGTAAACAAGTAAAGAAACTAAAAAAGTGTGGTAACTCAGTTTGGTCCTTTTAAGTAGCAATAGAAGCTGAGCAATTGTTGGTTAAGTTTAGTTTTATAAGGTTTGCTTTAGAAGAGGCAGGTGGTATCATCATGGCTTTTATTTAAAGGAGGAAATGACATCCTTCCAGGTTAATGTGGTCCTACTTCCATAATGATTAGTGTGTAGCAAGAAATTTAACCATGCTTTTCCAGACTCAAGAGTTAGATACCAGGGCTGGGGATTTAGCTCAGTGGTTCCACCGCCTGCCCTGCAAGCACAAGGACCCGAGTTCGATCCCCCATACCAAAAAACAAAAATAACAACAAAAGAGTTAGATACCAAACTCACTTCATACCCTTGAATGTCCTTGAATAAAGGACATTTGAGTTTTTTCTTTTCTATTGTGATAGGACTTAAATAATTATATAATCTTGAGTGTTTAATTGACTGTAACATTGTCTTAGTCACTTTCTCATTGCTAAGACACAATACCCAATAATGGCAGATTAAAAGAAGAGAAGTTTGCTTTGGCCCACAGTTTGTATAAGTTTCAATTCATAGTCAGCCAGTCTCAAGGCAGGATAGCATGGCAGAGGGGCATAGCAGTGAGGAGCAAATGGCATGGCAGACAGGAAGCAAGAACCAGCCGAGAAGGGAGATAAACCCTTCGAGAGCATGCCTCCAGTGACTTTCCTCTTCTGACCAGACCCCACCTCCTAGTAGCAAGTCAGCTAGAAACCTCCATAATCCAGTCAGCTTCCAAAGGTCCCACCTATGATTGCATGAGGCTTTAAGGGGATATCTGGATACTTCTTTTCTATATAAATCTCTCTGTATGTGGCTATTCCATTATGAATGTATATGGGAAACAAATTGTGACTTTGAATAACTTCTATAATTGTCTTTAGGAACCCTATGAAGAAAGATTTCTAACATATAAATTTTTAAAATCTGGCTGTCTGTATTTTTAATTCATGAAAAAGAATGTGTTTTGAGTTCTAAGGGAGATGTCTATAGATCAATTTAATGCCATTGAATCCAGTTGTAGAAAGTCATATATACTCCACTAATCCATTGTAAAAGGTCAAGGGTCTTGGGCCAGGGATTTAGCTCAGTGGTTCTGCCGCCTGCCTCGAAAGCAGAAGGTCCTGAGTTTGATCTCCAGTACCAAAAAAAAAAAAAAAAGGTCAAAGGTCCTAATGAAAATACACAGATTCCCTTAAGCAAAGTCATTGGAGTAGTTAAATAAAATTTGAAGCTGGATGTGGTGGCACACTGTAATCCTGGCACTCTGGGAGGCTGAGGTAGAAAGATCACAAGTTTGAGCCCAGTCTGGGTTTAGCAGTTTAGAGACCCTGTCTCAAAAAACAAAAAAGGGTGGGGGCTAGGTGTAGTTGAGGGCAAAGCCCCTGGGTTCAGTCCCCAGTACCACCAAAACCAAAACAGAACAGCTAGTGTCAGAAGCTACCAGATTTAGATCTCAAATCCATAGGTAGTTTCATTTATGATCAAATAGATTAATTATTCCTATATTTGAACAGTGTTTAGTGAGAGATTAGGATATAGTGTGTTTAGAGTTTGAATACTTTAAGAATCTGAGCATCATTTAAAAGAAAAAACAAGGCCGGGGATTTAGCTCAGTGGTTTTGCCTCCTGCTGCTCAAGTGCAGGGACCCGAGTTCGATCTCTGGTACCAAAAAGAAAAAGCAGTAAGTGGGGTAGATGCCCAGTCACTACACAGCTAGTAGTAGCTCTGCAGTGCAAAAGAATTTAGCACTGATGGCCTGGGATTTAGCTCAGTGGTTCCGGCACCTGCCTCCCAAGTGCAAGGTCCCAAGTTCGATCCCCAGTACAAAAGAATTTAGCACTGATGGCTTCACTGTAATGGGAGACAAGGGGAAACAATTTAAAAGAGAGAGATTGTTTCCTTTTAAAATCTTTCTAGTGGGCCGGGGAAGTGGCACAGGCCTGAAATCCTAGCACTTTGGAGGCTGAGGCAGGAGGATTGCCATCAATTCGAGGCCAGCCTGGGCTCCACAGTGAGACCTTAGGTCAAAAAAAATCCAAAAAGTAAATCAATCAATCAATCAATCAATCTCTCTGGCTGGGCTTTACTGAGCAGGAGTCGCCATCATGGGAGTTGACATCTGCCATGATAAGGACCAAAAGGTCCAGCACAAGGAGCCCAGAAGCCAGGACATCTACCTGAGAATGTTGGTTAAGCTATTAAGTTTTGTGGCCAGACAAACCATGTTCACCTTCAACCAGGTTGTGATGAAGAAACTGTTCATGAGTTATACCAACCTGCCACCTAGGTCCCTTTCCTGAATGATCCACAAGATGAAGTTTCCTGGCTGGGAAAATAACTGTGGTTGTGGGGACAATAACAGATAATGTGCGGGTTCAGGAGGTACCCATACTGAAAGTTTGTGCCCTGTGTGTGAGCAGCCAGGCCAGCAGCTACATTCTCAATGCTAGGGGTAAGATCCTCACTTTATACCAGGTGGCTCTGGACTCCCCCAAGGGCTGTGGCACCATCCTGCTCTCTGGTCTGCGCAAGGGCTGAGACATGTACTCACATTTCCACAA